CAGCACATGTTGCAAAAATATTTCATTTAGGACTTTAGTTTGGTGGTGCTGAGGAATCTCATGCAAAACATAGAAGGTTAAAACAGCACAATTGAAACAGAAAGCCATCGATGTCTGATAAAATCACTAGATATTAGATAGATATTGAACTATGAAGTGAAAAATACTTCTGTTTGGATTCAAAAACAAAACATAGAGTACTTACTAGATGTTTGATAAAAAAAATCTGATGAACTCTGTCAGTAAACACAAGATGGGTGATAATTGAGAATTTTTTTAAAATAAAAAACCCAGCAAAAGTTTTGTTTTTCTTGTTTGCATATGCGATAGAAAATAAAAATCACTTACTTAAATATACATTTTTGAACGTATCGTTTACATTACAACAGCCAATGTGAAGTTTAGCTGACCTGCTTAAAAGCACAAACACATTTTAAATCTACATTTGTATTTTGAGACAGTCGCCTAATAAGCATAATTTGGCAATCCACTTCCAAGAGTTGACAAAAAGTAAACATGTACAAAAGAAAAACAATGTCACTGTCATCAGTCTGATTTTGAGCCGATTGGACTGAACGATTCTTCAGACTGTCTGTGGACGGATGGTGGACAGCAGGGTGGGTATGGCGTCTGGGTGATGTGTGTGGAAGCAGAACGCTGCGGCTCCTCCACCCAGGATCATCAGGCTCAGCTTAACCAGGCGGACGGTAACGGAGGACTCTGGCTCCTCCAGCTGGGCAGACGTGAAAAGAGAAGGCACATAGTTTCTATTTGAAAAGATAATGGTGGATTATAAGTTTAAAACGTCATGCAATAAGCGTGGTAAACGGCGTTCATTCAGACCTTCCTGCTTTTTAGGGGCTGGTACGTGCGGTCGAACTGGGTGAAGATGGCTTTGGGGGGCCCCCTCCCATTTCCCCGGCCCCATCAGCCGGTACTGGTAGGAGGAGACGGGTCCCCAGTACACGCCTGAACAGCTGGTAGTCTGTGAAGAAGAGCCGGAGGAGACTCGGCCTCACTCCAATCTCTCCCGCGATGTCGTCCATGTAGGAAACAAAGTCCACCTGCAGCGGCGTCAACTTTGACACAATATAGCTGTGGAGGTGGCCAACAAATTGTTGTAAGATTAAACGGTGAATAGACTGCTAAAAATAGATGATCTATTATCTTTAAAGAAGACAATAACGGGAAGCTACTTTTTCTCAATGTCCTTAGTGTCCTTGTCAACAGCTTTGATCATGGTTTGGTTTGAGGGAAGCTTCTTAAGTCCTTAAAAGCAAAATGATAAAGACATGTTAGGGTCACTCAGACTTTTGAAGGGTTTAAACTGACAACAGGAGATATAAAAGTCTTGCCTCTCATCTTTGAAGACACATGCCACCCAGCGGGCCTCCATTTCCGCTTGAAGCATGATGGCGCCAAGGGCATGAATGAAACCCACCACACCTAGAGTGGTATGCTCCAAGTTTGGAGGGAACACATGCTTGTAGAGACCTACTCTGTGGCCTGACTTATGAAGAACATTGTTTGGCAAGAAGGGGAAGCCAGAGTTGTACCCTGTGGCGAACACAATTGTGTCTACCTGCAATGAAGACGACGTAGATCAGTGAAAAGCATTCTGGGAGTGTGGAAAGAGTCTTGAAAATACTCAGGAGGAAGATTCTGACCTTTTCCACCGCGCTCCCATCGTCAAACACCACAGTAGAGCCACAAATTTCCGTTACATTTGGTTTGATGATAACGGATCCTGAAAGAATCTTTAGTGGCAGATCGTCATTGATCACTGGTATCTGACTGAAGAGCCTGTGGAGGAAGGACAGAGAGAGGAACACAGGACTTAGGAGATGAGATAATGATCGATCAAAGGGAAGATGCTGTGAAGAAGGGTTATTCATATTAAATGATGTTCCTTTATGTGTCATATAAATGTAACGTTTTTTGTATCACAGTCCAGGTTTTTTTCTGTGCAGCTGGAAACGGTGTGCAAACTAATGAAACAAGATGTGTCTACTGAAGTAAGGCTCCCAGGGTTGCTGAACTTCCCCAGACAGTTATTTGGGAACTCGCTGTTTTTCCCACTCTATCTCCTTCCCTGCATGGAGATAGAGTGTGTAGTTTTCACCTCCCGTAAACATTACAGTGAATGAGCATACAAGGTTTCGTATGTTTTCCTTTGTTTCTTTTGTTTGGTCTTAGAAGATTGGGTCTCCGCTTCGGTAGTAAAGAGAGATGAATAAAGTAACTATGCAACTCTGAGTTCGTCAGAGCAGATCCTAATTTGTGCCTAATGCAGTGTATGTTTGCTCTCCTTCTGCAGATGTATTAAAGATTGTTTTTGCTCCCTGACTTTTGTCTGGACCTCAGTCTCTGAATTGTGCACTTCACAATGCATATCACCAAAGTGACTGACCAGTAAGGAGATCCACAAATCTACCTTGCATTGAACTTTTCTACACTTTTTTCATAAATATTAGTGTTTCTGATGGATTTTTAGTAAATACACTAGGGATCTTCAACTCCAGTCCTCCAGCATTGATGTCTTGCAACTTTGAGATGTTTCTCAGTTGCAGGATGCCGGGTTTTGATGACTAGAGTTTAAGACCTCTTTGCTAGACCATCAAAAACTTGTTCGGTACTTTCTTTGTGGTTGTAGCATGACAAAACATAAGAGATTTCCAAATGCTTTTGCTCGGCATTGTGTATTTTCAGGAGAGCACCCACCTGTGTTTGGGCTTGAGGGCGTACATTGTGTGGTCGTACATGGCGTTGAGTTTCTTCTCTCCAAACCAGTTGAAGAAGTTGATGGGCAGCAGCTGGAACAGGATGTGGACGAACTTTGTGTTGTACATCATGTTCACTGGAACGCTGTTATCTGAAACCTGATGGATCACCCAGGTGCCACGACAGGTGCTCATATACACCTGGGATGCAGAACAGATGCTAATTAGCATCCCTGCAAATAGCAGAAAGATGTTCTATCTCAAAAAAGACAAAACAAAGAGAACAAGAACCTGCTCTGCAAATGTGCTGCTCTCCACGGAGATGTCTCCTCCTGAAGCTGATGACAACCACTTCTTCCCTTGCATGTCCTCAGGTCCCTTGTAGTCCCAGCTGTGAAAGTATTTTCCTTCAAACGTCTCAATTCCTGCAACAGGTTTTAAGAGCTATAATCGCTTCTTGGGTTTTGGAAAATCCGTCATGATTGTTTTGCTATGGATTTTCTAACTATCTATGCAAACTAAATGGTACAAGACCAAGACATACCTGGAAAGTCTTGAAGAGGCAGGTTAGAACTGTGACGATGATGATAATAATAATAACAATGGAGGAACTGGGTTCCTGTCTAAGAAAGAAATTCAAATAATTTACTGACGTGTAATGACTGGAGCAGCAGATGACTGCATCAAAGATGCGCTTCTCCTCCAGTCCATCTCAGGTCTCGGTCACCACCTTCCACTGACCACGGTGAGAAAAGTCCGGTCAGAAGATAAACTCAATTTTAGCAACCATATGTGCAGTTTTAGTTGAGCAACTCCACTCTTATCAAGGGTTTCATTTTATTTCCCCTCTTCCCTGTTTCTCAATGTGTTTATGGCAACTTTGCTGAAACCTTTTCTTTCCCTAACTTTCCTCCCTTGTGTCATCCAGTGTACTTCCCATCACTGATGTCTGTGATTCCTTACTTTACATATGTCCACTTTCTGTAAATGCTTTATTGACTTTTTAAACCAAAAGTACACTTTTGCAGAAGTTCACTATCTGGTTTCTTGCACTCAAAGCAATTTTAGTTCACCTGCTGTCTGCATCACATTCTTATCAGCTTTTCCTTTCATGTTCTGTCATAAAATCTTCTCAGTTCTTAGAAATACAAATCAGGGCAAAGGCAATCTTACAATTCATCGAAAGCACTGGATTGTTGTCTTTATTTTCGATGAGATCATTTCAAAGAGTAAATACTAATCAAACGGCCCATGCAAACTCCTTGAGCCCTTTAGTTTCATCTTATTAAGCCACACATGGACTGTAATGCTTAAAATGGAGAGAAATCTAGTATGCATTTTCGTACCGTGACGATCCTCGTGTGCCGCTTTCCTGTCCAGTTTGGAGGAGCATCACCTGAAGTTCAGTCTTTTTATACACAAAGGAACCATCGCAGAGCCTCAGTTTTCTCTTTTTTCTCACCTACTGACCCAAAAAGGCTTTTATCGGCTTGAGCAACGTTTGCCCAAATCAGTGAGGTTTTACTTCGACTGAAGTCCACTTTGTGTTCCAATCAAGTGGGTGTGGGAGACGGCCGGCGGGTGAACGAGTGGCATTCACTGCACACGGCATCTGCATGATTGAATTATATTTTTAAAATTTTTTTAATGCAAACGTCCAGCTTCAGCCTACTGAAATATTGAAAGCATCTTCTACAGTACATTGAAGGGCCTTCTCGTTTGTTGTGCCTTATGTTTCCTTGAAAACTAATGCACTCAGGTGATTTAACTTTTATTTCATTTTATTCATGTGAATTAGGAGGAAATTGATACATGGGTTTATTTTATTTTTTCTTTTCAAATAAAAATCTGAAGTTTGCTGTGCGTCTGCATTTGGACTCCCCACTTCTAAAATGTGCCGTTCTTCAAAATGTGTAGTTTGAACATCTTGAGTCTCTTCATTCAACATCTTGGTTTCTTTACGACTTTTAGCTTAATTGAGTGACTTATTAGTATTATCTTGATTCACAGATGAAAATATTTCACCACCAGTTATGTAGCAGTAGTATTTATAAATTGCTCTCTACTTAAAGTATTAATTATGTAAAAAGTGTTTGACCAAGCACATAACCATGATGAACTCCATTATTAACGCTGGTGTTTACTGCATGATTAAAAACACCTCGTCTTGAAATAATATACGGAATGAGCATTTGCTCATGCTCATTTGGGTAAACCAAGATCTTTCTGAGCTGTTCCAAAAATTCGTCACAAACATGCATCAGAAAATACGGTAGGCGGTTTCAGTTGCGTTCCCCATTTAATTAAAAATCTTTAACATATTTAACAGCCGAAGCAAATGTACCGACACGACACAATGCAATCACACTCACATATAGCTAAACTCTTCAAGATAAAACTTCAATACAGTATATCGGTTTTCAGTGAGCAAAACCGAAAACAGCCAATGAGTGCAAAATCTATCCACCACTCGCACATTAACAATGTAGCAACTTATTTTTTTTTATTTTTTACTTTGCTTCTCTTAGGTTAAAGTCTATTCATACTCTTCACAGTAGTAAAACAAACTTGGTCATAAATGTGCTATTCAGCATATTGTGATTTGCAACAGCAAAGGATGCTGAAATCTGGAAAGTCGCCATGTTCCGGGAAGACCGTTGGTCCGATATTGCAGAAGAGGACACAGTCTGGATCTGGCTCTAACCAACCAGCAAAGAGCCACTACGGCTAACCAGAGCTTCACACACCTCAAACCGGGGTCATCAGCCTCCGTGACCCCGCGTTGCCACTGAACGCACATAATTGTTGCGTCATCTCCACCGATTGCGTCGCTACAACGCATCAACAATTTGCAGAAATGCCCTTTTGTAAGTGAAAATTAAGTGCAGTGATATGAATGACGATAAAAATGAACTAATAAGGGTTCACACTCAAACACTGAAATAATAGCTTAAGACTAAAGGAAGACTCATCGTATTGAGACACCTGGAAGTCAGTCTGGCCCATTTGCAGGTTATTGCCTTCAGAGATATTAGAAAGAAGGGATGAGGGCTTTCAAAACAAAGATCAGCAGCACATTCACAAGAAAGGCAACTTTTGCTAGTTTGCAGAAGAGAAATAAGATTTAGCTCAGTTTTTTGTCACAGTCATGAAAATATGCTTGACACTATATACCATACATCAGCTCCAGCGAAGATATGATGCGCTGGAAAATGTTCTTAGTCAGGCTAATTCTTTTTGGCATGCTGCACAGGCAGGCAGATATGTTTACATTTTTATTACTCTACGTGGTAAAGAAAGTTACAAAACTGCACACCACCTGCTGACCTCTATGATCATTCAGGCCATAACCGGCTCATTAGAGCACAAAACGAAGTTCTCGATACCTTCCAAGGATTGTTTTTGCAGCGTGAACTGGGAGCGTAGGCTCGACACTCCTGCAGTAGAGGAATCAGTTCATTTTCTGCTAGTTTTGATATGAAAAAAGGAAACTAGCGCATCTTCACTGAACCCTCAACCTTTGTCTGACTTCTGTTGGTTTTTCACCAAAGCATATATTTGTTCTGTTGATTTGAACGATGATAATAAAGCAGCACATCTATGATGTTTGAATTTAGTTTCTCTACAGCTAAAGATGTTCTGTAAAATTATTGATCAGTGAATATGTTGCCATAAGGATGCATCATGTCCTTTACTGTGCAGGAAGCCTGAAACTGTTCTCCGTGCAGAGTGGAAAGCTAGCTGCGCTAGCTGACTACTTAAACAATATGCTTACATAGTCTCAGAAATTTTTACATCACAGTTTACAATTCTCTTAAGTTTTTTTTTTTTTATTATTCTTGCAAATGTTTCTTTTAACCCTCTCCAGGCAGGTGTTGCAGATTTGCAACAACTTAGCCAGTCTTTGCAAGTAATTTGAGCCTGAGAGGGTTAGGAGTCCTTAAAAACAAGTTTAGCTTTTATCTAAATAAATGTTCTTCAGAGGTTTTCTTCAAATGTTGGAAATTCAGATGCAAATTTGTCCCTCATTAGTCATAAATTATTAAAAACAGTACTTAAAAAGGAAATATCATGTGAAAAAACAAAAAACAAAAGAAAAACTGACACCCAAAGGAGGCACTGTGACAGATGACTGATTGATTGTAAGTGCTAGAGTATATCAAGTAGAAGATTTAAAAACTTACACATGTTCCCGCTGATATTAATATGGCTTAGTGAACCAGAACGTTATGATTGCTGCTGCTGGGTGAAGCAAAATCCACAGATACAATAATTCATATTCAGTCAGAAAAAGCGCAAACTTGATGACAATATTGATTATAAGAAGCTAATTTGGTTGACGGGCTGAATATATGAGTTGATCATCTATGTGTGCTGAGATTAAGGAGGACGAGGACACCTGCTGTTTTTACTGATGAACCCCTGGTAATGTATCACATGGTGCACCCAACCCACATGTTTGAAACAACTTTACAAATCTTACTGTAACAACAGTGACTCTTCCACAGTAGTAGAAAAACATCTAAACATGCCTTAGTTTTGTTTTTTTAGCATATCTTATGGATCAGAACTCAAAACTACGTCTTTTGTCTGCTTGCCTCTGCATTAACTAATGGAAAATAACAAATACTATCTTCATCGTGTGATTTTTCTACAGACATAAGCACAACTTGGTCCATGAAATGTATTTAGTCCCCATGTGTAACCTGATGAACAGGTAGGTTGAAAGTTGAGTTAGCTAAAGTGGTAAACAGAGTCTCCTCCAATTTGGTCTTAAAACCCTTGAACTACTCAGCAACAACATTGTGATTAACGCTGACGCTGACCTGCAGAGATATCTGGATCCTGACATTTATCTGGACCCAGAGGACCCGAATGCCAACCTCCAAAGATCTGAACGTGACGGAGCGTCTGTGAGACCCGTCTTGATGATTTGAGTTGCTCATCCGGCTTCAGGGCCCCTCAGAAGACTCAACCCATGTCTCTCCTGACTGTAAACATATTAGCAACATCAGATGGACCTGCGCAGGTTTAGATTTGTTTCATAATGTTTAGTAGATGCTTCCTATCTACAAACCCAAATGAAAGGTAAGAAACAGACTGAATGTCTGTAAAGTAGCACAAAGCAGGACTTTGGGGGACTCTTCTCCTGAGTCTACCCCAATGAAAACAATTTTAGAGCAGAGAAATTAAAATAAAAAATGTGACGAGGCCCCTAAAGCAAAACCATTTCACACCCCCTCTCTTCCTCTCAGTCTCTAAATTTAAGCTAAATGCCCCAGCAAGCTCTGTAGAGTTTGAGGAGAGAGCCACAGTATCTCCACCAGTTTGTACTGGCAGTACCCCATCCAAAACCCAAACAGCACATCGGTAACATGGTGCCTGCCCAGCAGCACTCGGCTGAGCCCCACCAGGCCCACCCACAGCAAGACCAGGACCCTGAGCGGCGCAGCCAGAACCAGGTGGGCCAGCAGAAAGCGGCCGCACATGGCGGCTCGGGTGGCGTGGCCGGAGGGGAAGGAGTAGCGGTCCACGGAGAAGGTGGCAAACATGTCCATCTGGTTATGAGTCGGCCGACGCCGACGCACCACCGCTTTGACCAAGCCGACCAGGATGATGTCCAGCAGAAGGCCTGTGGGAGAGAAGAAGAAGAAGCAGACATGAAGGATCATCATAACACTGCACCACAAACAGGAGGACTACCTCCACAATACTCATCTATCGATTATTCTGACGATTAAAGTAAAAACGGCACAGTCTACAAATATTTTGTTTAATTCGTTAAACCTTTTTTATAGTGTTAGAGAAACATTAAGAGATGCAAAGAATTAAATATTTCAATTGCTTTTTGAAGTAAGAAAATTAGCATTTTATTACCTAAACTCCATAACATTCCTGTAGTAAATCTAAACTGGGTGAAACTTACACTTAAAAGAGTTCTGTGTGGAACATATTTACAGACAAAGGTGTTTTTATCTTAAATGCAAAACATATCGTTTTTTTGTACAGTGTTGGCTTAATTACTGCCCTGAATATGTCATTTTTTCACCCAGTGGCTATTTTTTGAGTCTGTATACTCCAGTTAGATTAATAATTTCCTAAATGAGTTGACGACAAATCGTTTCAGCCCTACTCTACATACAGATTGCATGATAACAAGATTAGTGAAACCTCTGAAACTTTAGTCCTCCAGACATCATTGTCTTGGCGCCATCTGGTGGCTGTGTGAAGCAAGTGCCCAAGTCTCAGAACTGACATTTGCTCAAATCTGACAATTTTCGATCCAAGTTTATTCATCTTAATCAAGTTTCCAGACTCAGTAAATGCTCATTGACCATCTGAAAAGACTGTATGACCTCATCAGAAACATGTGACATGATTAAACCCTAGAGCGCCACCTCCTCAGTCCTCCTGGAATCAAGTTTTCCAACACAGACTTGACCTAAAACTAAAATTACATGTGCTACTAATAACATTGCCCAATGGCTTTCCTCCAAGTGTCCTAATAAGTCCACATAGTGTGAGAGACCGATGTAGCCAGCAACTCTCCATGCATGCAGCAATACCGAAAACACAGCCGGCTCTGTCGCAGCTCCAACTCAATGCATGATGATGAACAGGTTCAGTGAACATCGAGCTTAAAACGTCAAATTAGAGAAGAAAATGGGAATAACTGCTGCACATTTTAACACTGTTAGTTATCCCACCAAGAAGTGCTTATAGGGATGTTAGAAGATCGGAAAATTAAGAAATATAACAGGTTACATTTAAAAATACTGTAATTTTTATATTGTAAAATGTAAAAAAAAAAAAATATATATATATATATATATATATATAGTTAATGTAGTGTCAGGTTTGAATGGGTTAGCAGATGGTTAAAATCAACCTGTGCTGCACAAATGAAGAGAGTTGGGTCATAATAACCTTTATTTATTAAATCAGACCGAAATATGACAAGATCAGCAAATGCTAGTTAGTGTTTATTTAATCTAATGGTGTCGATCTGTTTATTCCAAGAGTTGATGGCTGACTAGACTGTTCCTTTTTTAATGAACGGAGGAGCAAAGTTAGAGTGCGGTATTCTTAAACCCATTCACTGTTTTTTTTATTTTTAACGTTAATCTCACACTAACATTAACAGGTTTCTTAAAGGTCATTTTGCCTTTTCACTGTCTCATACTCCCAGAGTCCTCTTTCACAAGGGAGCCTTGAACAAACCATATGCATCATTTTGTGCCAACAAATGGGATGTTCTCTACTCTGTAAGCAAACGGCGGTAAATTGGGTTTAGTGAAATGCGAGTTGAAACTGCCAAATGGGTATTTGGAGCAATAGCTATTTAGAAATAGGAAACAAAACGGGGTCAGGTCAAAGCTGTTGACGGAAAAGCGTAAACCTCTAAAAGAACCTGACACCATCAACCACATCCTAGCCTGCTGGGTTGATGTCTATTTCTCATGTTACTGAACGAAGTCACAATGAAATATTGTTCATTGTGACAATCAGTTAAAGTACGACAGCGCATTTTAATGTTAGACCATAATGCTGCAGAAATGTTTCCAGTACGTAAAAGTGAACAAAACCATCAGCTCTGACTAGAGGAGGTTTTGAGATGCGACTGATGTTTGGGAGGATTTATGTCCGCCGGCATCAGAGTGCTAAAAAATTCATGCAACGCCTGGGGCAACTCTGCCAAAATCTGCTGGGAAACCCTCCAGAAGAATAGATTTCAGGAAAGTGCTAATGAAAGCAAGTATTTCTCATCACATCATAAGTGATGCATTCAAAGGCTTGGCTTAATTTGTTCTAAATTATTGCATTTTCCTTTTCTAAGAGGTCAAATGTGATCTATATTTTCTACAAACTTTAAAAGCCATGGACAAAATGAAAGTTTTTGAATTTGGCAAAAACTTAATCTGTCACTAATCCTAAGCTTGACTTTGGTTTCTATTGCTCGTGGTCTAATCAAAGTAAAGTTGCAAGAACATTTAGGCGGATGAGCCTAAATGAGAGTACGAGTACTTTTATTTGAACCATCTTGATTTTAAAACCATGAACTTATTTAATTTCTGCTAATTCATTTTAACACCAGTCAATAAATGTAGATTTTACTTGCTTTTCATTTTTTCAATTCTTTCTAATATTCGTGGTTTTCTATTAGTTTCATCAGAACCAATGTGGTTTAGAAATGTTATGCTTCCCTTTATCACAATCTCATTTAAATCCAATTGTTTCCTGTGTAGGTGTTGGATTTTCGCTTACATGAAGCACTAATTTGTTTCCCCTTTATTGAAGTGCTTCACAAAGGAGAATAGCATCCCAACTCAAGACCTGAATTAATGTAAATAAATCACTCACTAATAGCGAGGATAGTGCAAGATGTGGAGGAGGCAGAGCAGATATGTGAACTAGAACCGAGTCCAGTTATTGTCTTATTTACAGATATGAGAGTTATTGTAGCGCATTTACCCAGGAGCAGGTTGAGCATGACTTCCTGTCCCGCAGCGCTGTCGCTCTTGTACATGGAGTAAGCAGCGCCTGCCAGCCACGGGATGCCGTGTCCGGACACCTCGATCAGCTTCATCAGGGGCCGCGCGCTGCCCCACGACGAGTCCTCGCAGGCGCACACGCTGAGCCGCTTGGACAGCCACAGGTCGATGGCGAGCAGGGAGCTGAGCGAGATGCCGATGAGGGACGGGTTGAGGCGTATGCCGTCTTCCTCCGGTGGCCCCTGGCCGCTCGCCGAGCCCGTGGAGGAGCCGGAGCCTCGGCGACGCGAGGGGCTCTCCGAGGCCCGGAGGCGAGCGGTGGTCGGGTCGGAGCCCTGTCGCTGGAGGAGGTGCGGCGGGGAGGAGCGGTTCAGCGGCTTGGTCAGCGACACGAAGTCGAAGTTAGTGCCGAGCACCGGGCTGCCATCCCTGCGACCGGCGTTTTTAGCCTTTGGAGACGGCATTTTCCCCTTTGAGGCTTCAGTGGGCCGTCCACCCAAACGATACGCAAACGATAAATGAAAAATGTCAGCCGCTTCGCGAAGGTTTTCGCTCCTTTAGCTCATCTGTTGATAATTCCTGTCACGTCCGGGTTCCTTGAAACGAACCGCCATATTTGTTGCTCATTGCGCAGAGCACCCTGGGAAATTGAGTCTTCTCCTGGGTTTGTTGCAACGTTGCACTACGGAGCCCCTGAGGGGACATGGGGAGTTTCTTTTCTTTTGCGTTACATTATTGCGAGGGAACGCAAAGGTCAGTTAAGGTCACCGATTTGTTAATGCGGACTGCAAGTTTTTCTTACGGTCTCGGTGGCCATTGTACGGATTTCGTGAGGTTTTCCCATACGTTAATATCTCGTTGTGTAAAAACTGAAGTTTTACATCTTTTTCTTTAGGATAGAAATGCATCACAAACCTGTGACATAAACAGAAACCACCAGTAAGTGGGAAAGACGAAAAAAGTGCATCCAAACTATTTGTACTATTTCTGAGTTATTACCGAGGGGTAATAAGTCATCTGACAGTTTTAATTGCGTCTCTTTTGTTTCTTAGTCTGAATGGTTTAAAGGTTTTCGTGTGCAGCTCTGTCTCAACCTGCCACAAACAGACATATAAGCATGCAGTGAATAAATTGATTTTCAATCAGTTTTTATTTATTTATTGCATAAGCAATAACTCTGTGTACACTCTGTAAATGTGTACACGTTTAAAATTTAAAATTGACGTTTGCGATTGCATAAAATAGACCAACAAATATTGCAGTAAGCACTGAAACCACAATGAACATTCAAACCATCAACAATGACCAAAATCATCTGTCCCTCACAGCTTGATGTTGTGGTATTTGTGATGATTTGTTGTGATTATTTTCAGTCAGAGGTTTCTGATGTCAGTCAAAAAAATGTCAGCTTTGCTCTCATTTGTCCAGATCACCTTCTTTTACAAGTTTACTGCAAATACCTGTTTCTTTGAGATTCAAGTAGCTCAAATCAGCTAAAACAATGTCTCTGCCTACTTACTGGAAAATCACAGCTTTTTTTCTTCACTATCACTAAAACTATCACTAAAAATGCCTTCACATAAACTCACTTTGAAATCATTTGGGATATTTCTTCCACATTGTAGGTGGAAATGTCTTTTTCTCTGCACATTCATAACTACATAAAATCCTGACACTTTACACATAAAATGCTTCTTTCTCTTCCTTTTTGTATCTGTGTCGTTCATATTATCCATTCAGACACTCGTCAAAGATGAGAAGAAAATAAATATTGACGAGTTCAACGCCTACTCTCTGATTGGTCAGCGGTCGACAGCGCATTGTTTTAGCCACGCCTTTTCCGGGTTCATTTATTCTGCCTGGAGAGGCTGTCGCGTCGCTGCCGCTCTCCTCCAGCTCTGTCAGCCTTTTGTGAGCTTCAGTTTAAAGCCAGCCATGCCCGGGATTCTGCTGGGAGATGTGTTCCCAAACTTTGAGGCGGACACGACCACCGGAAGGATCAAATTTCACGACTTTCTGGGCGACTCGTGAGTGCGCACGCTCGGACGGACGAGCTGTAACCATAACCTGTCAATTTTCTGCATCTTTGAGCGACTGCGCGACATGTGGTGGAAGCTTGCTGTCTAGAGAGTGGAGTAGAAAGTGTGACTTCACAGCAGATCAGTTCTGATTGTAGTTTTATTGCGTTTATCTGGCCGCGTAAGACTTCAAGTGATGCCAGCTGGCTGCAATGGATGGCTTTATATAAGCAGGCTGCATAACTTGAATAATCTTTATTTCACATGTTTCATTGAGAACAGAACTAATACAAAGCCCCGAAAACAAGGCTAATTTATGAAGATCATACGAGAACATTTAGTTTGAGGCTTGATTGTTCAAAAATAGTGTCGATTTGGTGGGACTGTATGTTTTTCCTCATGCTGCTTAAGGCTGCATGATCTTTTTTTAGATGTTTTTTGTTTTTGTTTTTCTAGTAAAATTGGTAAATCCACCAACCTCTGAATTCAAATTCTGTGGATTTCTTTTCCTCCTGCTGGTACCACGCAGATGAACACATGTGCTGGACACTAACTCATTTCTTTCTCACGGTGGGAATAGTTGCTGGACTGGGAGAGAGGCAGTCATCTGTTAAAGCTGCGTCCCAGATTTTCCTGCTTCCTGTTATGCTTCTCATCGATTAAGATTGTTCCTGCCAGCGCACTTGGAAGCTCGAATCCCTGGGAAGCACAGGACAAAGCCCATTTTGAATAATTTGTTGTTAGAACCTGCTCCAGAGGTCATGGGGGTTGAGGGGTGGTTCTGGCCAGATCGACATCAGGTGATCCTCCTAAGCGAGGGGTTTTCTGTTCCCTTTTACTGCATGTGATGCCAAATCGAAAGAAACAATGTGATGTTTTGCTTTTGATGTCTACCATAGCATTCTTATTATGTTGCTCTTATCAACACTTCATGGGATTTGTGAATAATAAATCCAGAAAGCATGTGCGTCAAAGTTAGGTTCCCAAACATGTGACCAGAATGAGGTCACACTTACCCACTGAGGTCCAATTGTTAACCGCAGTCATATGTGTTCTTAACATCATATGTTTGTGAGTTAAGTTTGACGTCGATCCGTTCGGTAGAGACGATGGGTTTTATGTTTTTTTTTTTTTTCCCTGCAGGTGGGGTATCCTGTTTTCCCACCCGGCGGATTTCACTCCCGTCTGCACCACCGAGCTCTCACGCGCCGCCAAGCTCGCCGATGAGTTCAAGAAGCGCGGGGTAAAGATGATCGCCCTGTCCATCGACAGCGTTGAGGATCACAAGAACTGGAGCAAGGTGAAGCATACTAACTCGGAGCATTGGTAGCTGTTTGCATTCTAATTGCTTGAAATCCTCATGACTAGGGGAAGCAGGGTTATTTTAATAAACCTCAAACTGAATAAGGGATTTGATCATTTTCTTTCATGTTTTGTGCCATTGACTTTTATTGTTGGTCCAAAGTCCAATTATTTCAACCGTGGAGACACTCCTCTAGTTCATGAATGTTTATTTGTCAATAAAATACATTTTACTATTCCTGGTGCGTAAATAATTACATTTCTTATTTTAGAAATATTTTACAAGGTTAGTTTAATCTGTGTGAAGGCTCTCGGCCAGTAAAGTTAAACATTAGCGCCTGAGCATGTACTAACTAGAAACTCAGCAAACAGCGATTGGAATCATCCATTTTTTTCTTGCCAATCTGCATCCAAAGTACAGTTTTGTTTCCCTCCCACCACATCTGTCCAGTTTATTTATGTGGGACCTAAACGCCTGTCATCTCAAGGCTCTTTACAAAGAGGGGAAGAAAAGTTATGCAATCCAATCCTGCATGCATTCCAAATGAATCCAATTGTCAAACAATGTTTCAAGTTTATTACTCTAATCTGTCAAGTTTTCTGAGATTGCTGAATCGTTGACTTGCAGAATTCACTCCTCCGGGATGAGCACGTAGTGCCTGCAGAAAATCACGTATGTCTGAGAAGACGCATAAAAAAAGAAACGTAAACATTGACTGTAGTGTGCTTTTTATGTCGCAGAAGAGTTAAGAAATTAATGGCAGCAGCAGCTCCTTTAGTGGCTTCATCTAGGAGAGAAACACATCTTTAACAGATACTTTTAGTGCCGATTTTCAACCTTATAGGATGAGCGAGAGCACATTAGACACAGCAAAATTTCAGATGATCGCTTTATTTGAAAGAGATGCATGGTTAAACGCTGAGAGTCACGGCCAAGTGCATCATCGATTTAAGGATAATGTTACATTTTTGACAGTGGTAGCACTTGAATCTTGTTTTTGCTTTGTACTTTTGTAGTTTTAAAAGTAGACATCTGCCTCACGGAGCTGGTTCCTGCCTCCCATTCTACTTTTTATGGACCAGCAGTAAAGCTGCAGTCTGAGAGCGAAATGCTCTGTTGGGAACATATGGACCAATCGGATCTCTGATGCAGCCTGATTATTGAGGGCTTTATATATGAGAGGGGGAGGATCCCCTTTTCCATTTCTGATTGCAAACAATTAGAGAAGTCCAGCTGTAATGTAACTAATGCACTGATCAGTCCTCGACAAGATATTTAATGCCATCCAGAAAAATTTACTTATGAAACAGTTTTTCTTTCTTTCTTTTTTTTTTTGTCCTAAGATTCTGTCTTGTCAGAATTTAAAGGCAGGAAAATTACTCATCCAGGTTTTTATGTCCTGACAGATCAGATTTATGGATGCATATGGCTGAGTATCATCAACATAAAAGTAAAGAACATTGCTCCAAGCATAGAACCCTGTGGGACTCCACAAATGGACTGTGAAAAAGATCGGATTTGTATCAACAAACTGGAATCTGTCAGACAATGAACCTGCTTAGTGATGTTCCCTGAATCCCTACAGCATGTTCAAGTCGTTCTAAAAGAAAATTGTGTTTTGTTTGGTTTAAAAGGCTGTGTTGTTTGGACACACAGCCTCAGCACTGTCCCGGTCTGACCAGAACAGATATAAATCCACTATCTGAACCCACTGGAAATTCATTGGAAACTTTCATCTATGCTATTATTAAAAAAAAAAAAAGAATCAAAACTAACCACTCCCACTATTTTAAGTCTCTGAATGGGTTAATAACCAGCATCCTTTTTATGGTGTTTTTGGAGGTAATTGAAAAATGTTGCTTCTGTCAAAGAACAGCTGCACTTTTTAAATTTCTCTTCAATATGTTTTCATCTTAAAACTAGAACCGATATCAGCCTGACCAGTTTCTACTTCTGGCTACAGTGAAGTAGAAAACTCTTCCCGTTGTAGCTCTAAGTAATGTGTAAAGCATAATGTGTCCGACGCCCGGTTACAGGATGTGATGGCATACGGCAACGAGGCTGGCACCCCTCTGCCTTTCCCCATCATCGCCGATGACAAGCGAGAACTGTCGGTCCAGCTGGGCATGCTGGACCCTGACGAGAGGAACAAGGCTGGACTACCTCTGACTGCTCGCTGCGTAAGAATCCTGCTTTCTGCCTGGTTTCAATAACCAATAAAAACTAAAATTCAAGTTTGACCATTTTCTCTGGATCAAGTTTGTCTTAAAATTGACATTGGATTCTTTTTTTAATAAAATGGTAATTCAGTGCATTAAATCTGAAAACTTCCACGTGTTCAGACCACAAGCAATGACCCAGTATATTCTTTGATGTACGTTTTTATGCTGACCCAACTGTTCCGCATAAGCGCCAGAACACCCCCCACCCCACCACCACCACCACCACACACACACACACACTTTACGGCCCTGCCCTGCTGGTCCCGCCAGACACAACTCTGACAATCTGTGACTGACATCTCTCTGTGTTCATATGCAGACAGAGGTGCAGATCAAACCTACAGCATTGAGATCTGGACCAAATCTAAGGCTCCAAATCATAAGTCACCCGAAGGCTCACGCACATGCAGCAACTTCGGGTTGGGATCAAGAACTGGTCTGACATCTGCAAAAAGGCTTTGACTCTGATCCGGTCAAGGGCTGAACCAATTCTGCCTAAAAATTAATTGAGATTTCTGTATTTGTCACTATTTATAGAACTATGACAATGTTTTTTTTTTTTCTAATGGCGTTGGGATGGACAAAAAATATTAAAAAAAGACATCGGGTCCAAGTCCGTTTACTGGTCCGGACCAAATGCTCACCCACACTTTGCTCAGAGCAGGTCATTTTGGCTCAGGTCAAAAAATAAGGAAATTACATTTTTGTCTGCTAAATAACAAGCATATTAAAGTTTATTCATGGTGTTTTTCATTTGGTTTTTAATGCAAAAATATTGTCAGCAGTCTGCCTGGTTATCTGTCCCACTCAGAAATTTCTTTCTTGCACAATTTGTGGAACATGCGGCAAATATAATCTGCCCTGCCTTTTGGTTTTAGACCCACAGCATCCAGATAGCGCTGCTGTGTCATAACGTGATGATCCATCAGGTTGTCCTGCTGCTCTAAATTGACATTGCTGGAGGATATTTGACATCTATTTTTTATTTTTATTTTTTTTAGTGCTCTAAATATTCGACCAGTCGTGATTTTTGTCATATCAGGTGTTTGTGATCGGCCCGGACAAGAAGCTGAAGCTGTCCATCCTCTACCCTGCCACCACCGGGAGGAACTTTGTCGAGATCCTCAGAGTCATCGACTCTCTGCAGCTGACGGCGCAGAAGAAGGTGGCCACGCCCGTCGACTGGAAGGTACAAAGTTCAAATTACGGACACACAGCCTCAGCACTGTCCCGGTCTTAAGTGGATGGTCATGACACGCTACTTATTTTAATCATGCGATGTGACAAACCTTTTTTCAGTTTATTTTTCATTTATGTATTAGGAATTTATTTTTGCTCTGTTTTGTTTCCTGTTAGCCTGGTGAGAAAGTCATGGTCATCCCTTCACTTCCTGATTCTGAAGCAACCGCTCTCTTCCCCAACGGAGTAACAACCAAAGAGTTGCCTTCTGGGAAAAAATACCTGCGCTACACTCAGATCTGAAGACGGAGAAATACGAACCAAATCACAAAATGTACGTCGCTGCTTTATGCTCAGCTTTTTCATGCAACTCTGTTACTCCTTTCTGCATGTAGACATTTAGAGGTTCTTTGACCAACTACTGGATGTCCTCCTCCAGCCTTTGAACTGAAAGCTTTTATTCTGTCGCTGCAGAGCTGTACTCTGCCAGTAGATGGCGCTAAGCGTGCACGTTACCTCCAACATGGAATAGAAACATCCTATAGTGGGAGTGAAAGAAGCGACCTGTTTTTAACGACTAAGAACAAGAAGTATCATGGACAGAGATTACTATTTACTGTTGAAGCCAATCTAAGAATGACAAAAACAGATTCATTTCAGAGCTGATATCTATTTTCATTCACGTTCAGGACGCAATCAACTTTCTCTCATCATGTTCTTTCTCTTTTTGCCAAATAAACACTTTTTGAAACTCCTCTGTATGTGTTGTGGTCCCTGGGTTTTGCTTGGCAGCTATGAGCATGAAGAACTTTCAAATGCTGTCATGAGGATGAAACTGCAAACCGCTGCTTGACTTTTCAGTTAAAAGTTGATATTTTTATGAAGCTCCACAATAGATACAATGATGTAGTTGCATTTTAAATGTACATTTCTCACGCACCTTCTCTAAACGCGTTCACGCCGAAAGAATAGCTTAAGTTTGGTGAAAAGTAGGGGGGCGAATACCGCTGTCTTAGATTGTGATATTTTTTTTCTTCGTTTCTCGCTTTCCTCCATTAATCATCCCCTGACCTCTCAGGTTTATCTTGTGAACCTTTAGAGGAGTCTGACCCCAGGGCTAAGAAGAAGCGTACTCAGGATATCATCAGTTACAGACGTTATTCTCTAGAGGAAAATTAGATTTTAAGACGCACATTTTTTCTGGAGAATGTTGTCAATATGAAATATTTTAATTGCATCCTGGTGCCAAAACGTTTTCCTAAAAATTCCCAGTAATGGTGGTTGAAATGAGCAGGATTGTAAACGGTAGTAGCATACCTGTATTTGGGTTTTATGTGAACTGAATGTTATAAAAACAAAAGTGTTTCCACAGCATGACTCTGCCACCTCTATGTTTACAGTTATAACTGCACTTGTTTTTTTTTTTAAACATGTAGGCCTAAACGTTTTGTTGTTTTCTAATCAACTTTGGCATGAGATTGAATCACACACAGATGTACTCTTAGATGACTTTTTAAGGCAATTAGTTGCACTGGTTTTGATTCAGATTTATCACACCATAGGAATTCCACACCTAAAATATGTTTTATTGGAAAAATACTTTTTTTTTCAAATTAGTGTAGTATAGTATGAATTTCTTTCCAATTCACTGTTGTTGCTTCTGGCTGGTTTATTACATAATAATTCAATAAAGTATATCGAAGTACAAGGTAGAAATGTTATGAAATGTGCAAAACTTCAGGATATTTGTGCGCAGTGCTGCACGCTCATGAAGAATCCCGACGCCTCCCAGCGGGCTGGCTTTATCTCTAGACAGGACACCGAAGCCAGGATTGGGGTGTCTGTTTCTTCTTTGGGTTATTCAGCTGTCAAAACTGCAGAGCTGGGGATCATATTAACTCCTTTACTCTAAAGGTGAACGCTCATCTTACACACACGCACATTCACCATGAGGACAAAAGGGAAAGATGAGCGAGGTGGGAGTCACAAGGTGTCCGGGGTCCAGTGAAATAATACTCGGCTTCCTTTTACTCCTTCGAGCTGGAATTTTTGGTTTTACCTTTTTCCTCTTCAGCAAATGAGCTCAACAGGAGTTTCATCCTCTGATGAACTGAAATAAGGATTTACATGTTCATGAAGTCGATGCCTCTCTTCTCCTCCTCACTTCTCCGGTGGCTGCATTGTCCCCGGGAGTCATCCAAAATAACAGACACACCGCACTGATCAAATGCATTTCTCAAATTCCTGACAACAATGGCTTGTGCCAGAGCATGAGAACTGCTTTGGATGTCAGACTTTGGCTTAATTAGCCAGTACCGATTCGCCCCTCCGCCTCCTCGCGTCTCCCATTATGCTGTTCATCTGTCACCCCTTCACTCTGTTGGCTGTGGAGCCTGCTCACTCCATCTCCCTTCATCCAAACTACTCTGTGTAATTCGACACCGATCCCTATCCAGGCCTCACGAGGCAAAACACAAACACACACACACACACACACACACACACACACACACACACACACACACACACACACACACACACACACACACACACACACACACACACACACACACACACACACACTGTACCAGCTGTTGGTCTTTGTCTCTTTTGACCACACAATGCACACAGATACAAAGCGGAGGGTTTTTGGTGTCTCAATTCTCCAAATCAGTTCTGGAGAAATGGTCAGATCCGAAATGTTGATCACTGCTACGATGTCCTGAAGGAGAAAATCCTAACCAGCTCACAAGCAGAAACGGCCACAGTGGGCCCAGCTGTACATAAAGATTCATTTTCAAACAGACTTGTTCACTGATGACTGCTGTGCAACTGGGTCCCAACACGGCTGTAATGTCAGCAAGGAGGTGGTGGAATCATGCTTTGGGCTGAAATCATGGGGAGAGAGAGAGAGCTGGTCGTCCCCTTCAGAATCCATGACGGTGTGAAAATGACCTCAGCAGAGTATATGGACTTTCTGACTGATCACTTTCTTTCATGGTTCAAAAAGAAGAGCTGTAACTTCAGTACCAAGATCCTCCTCATGCATGACAATGAATGCTGCAAGGAATACCACTGTGTCATTGGCTGCTATGGGCATAAAAGTGGAGAAACTCATGGTGTGGTCACCATCCTCCTCTGACCTCTGACCCTATTGAGAACTTTTGGTTTCCTCAAGCAGAAGATCTGAGGGTTGAATGCAGTTCATATCAAACCAGCAGCTCTGGGAAGGTTTTCTGACATCCTGCAAATAAATTCAAGCAGAAACTTTCCACAAACTCACAAGTGCAATGGATGCAAGAATTGTGCAGGTGATATCAAAGAAGGTTTCCTATGTTGACATGTAACTCATCTGTTAAGATGTTTTTGATTGAAATAGTTTATGATTTTAATACTGCACATTCAAAGAACGACCATCTGCAGTTCTTTATTATCCATAAAATGTTTAGAAAATCTGCTGTGCATAATAATTTGGATATTGATATTAAGGATATTAATATCTTGTTATATCATTAACATTGACAATTCTTTCATCAATATTAAGGAAAAAATGACTTAATACAAGCTCCTATTTCTTGCTGAAAAGTTACTTGTAAGTTAGTTTAATCTTTTTGAAAGTGCACTAAGATATTTGCACTAGAAACTAGACCTAAAATACTCGGTAACATGATTTTGTGTTTTTGCAGTGAAGTTCCAGCGTTTCGAATACTTTTTCCAAAGCAGTGTGGTACAACTTTAATCCTTCTGACATAACTGAATTTATTACGTTATTTACCTTTCGGGGGGAAATACTGAATAAGCATAATCCCTTAAATGTCAAACTACTCCCTTAAAAGAGTTGTGGTGCAGAGAGGCCACAGCATATAAGCCTCTAAATATGTGTGTTTATTCATGAACATGTGCTCACCATGGGAGAGGTCTTTATTCCCATCTTGTGTGCCAGGCATTGACTTCATCACCTGAAGCTGTCCGTGACCCTCAGGTTAACAAGCCAGAGACCAGAGGAGCTGCGCGGCGCACACAAACACCCACACACACCCACACACACGCACGCAGCACACACACACACGCCAACACACACTGGGCTACAGCTTGATGCTTTCCAGACGCCCAGCCTCCCTCCAGCATCGCCTGGCACTCTCCGCTCTCCCCGTCTCCCACACACTCGCACAAAATCAGTCCCCTCCTCCATCCTCTTATCAAAGTGTTTTTTTTTTTTGCTTCTTCAGCTTCCCTTTTCCCGTGCATAAACAAAAAAAAACAAACAAAAAAAAACTGCACATGCACTTTTTTTTTCTTTGTTTACTTTCCTTCCCTCGACTTCTTTATGCAGCATTTCGCTTTCTGAAAGCGGCGCACATCAAAAGCATTGCGCCGGAGATTGTCTTACTGATAGGCGGTGAGACAGATGAGCAGACTGAAGGTCAGGCAGACAAACAGAGACGGGAGTGACTTCATGATCTGGCTGAACTTTAAGGAACATTATCCGCCTCGCAGCCGAGCCTCACCTTTTCACGCTTCCCTCTCCGGCTAAAGCAAGGGGTCAAACCGGCCTTTCAGTAGACACGTACACACACACACACACACCCACCCAGTCTCACACACGGCGTAATGATAAAGGTGTGTGATTCAAGTGCCCAGATAAATGCAGCTGTTTTGATGGCACCTTGTAAATACTCTCTCCAGACAGGCTATTAGAGCAGCGGGTTAGTGCTCCCAAAGAACAGGGTGATAAACGAGATGGTAAAAGTGCAGTCATTCTCGGTGCTTCTCTTTATCTCTCTCTATCAATTTCATTGCCTTTCTCTAGCTTTTTGCTCCTTCTCGTGCTCGCTATTAGAGACACATTGATCACCAGCCGGTGGCGTTTCACCTGAGTAATGGCCGAGGATGTCTGGGCTTTAAAACGGCCCCCAGAGAGGCGCCAACAGCTTCATCAAGGTGACAACGCAAATGGTCGCTCGCATGATAAAGTGCGAGTCCCTGTGCGTGCGCGCAGGCAGAGTGCACGCGCGACTGGAGCGAAGGTAACAAAGGGAAAACTTGAAACAACGTCCAATAACAAGAAGAAACCGCACAGCTCTGAACTACTTCATTGTGTTCTCAAACTTGGGGCCACGACTCATTTAGATCCAGGCCCTCCAAACCTTTTGTCACGTGGGGGCCAAAATTGCAGAGACAAAAGGACTCAAGGAAATAAAATTTTTAAAAAAGCAGCCTGATTTATTTATTTAGCTATTTTTTGATAGTTCAAGTTGTTCATTGAAAATCCAAATTATTGTGCACTTTTACTAAAAGTAAGGCACGTAGTTTTCAAATTCTTTTTGGGCTCAGACAAACAAATGTATTCCCAGTCATAAGAATGGGATTCAAGTCACTTTCTTTCACATATTTAGCCATGTTTAATAAGTTAAATAGTAGCTGATTTAAGCTTTTCAATAAAAGTACCTGGATAGATGTGGTTCTACTTATTATTAAAGCTTGGTTGTAAGAAAGACGAACTGTGTGTCGTACTGAAGGTCAAACGTTCTTCCCCAAAAGGTTCTCCTCCTTTGGAGGAACCTGGAAAACACATAAAGAGCGTCACTCATGAAGCAACCTGGTCTGAACTACCTCCATTGATTCCTTATGATGCATTGGAGCAGAAATCCTCACTTTTGCTTTAAACCTGGGTTTAACCCCCCTACACAGGATGCTCGCTGTGTCCAGGACATCCCACATCCTAAAAGCCACTTTATGAGAGAGAGAAAAAAGC